TCCTCCTCCTCCTCCTCCTCCTCCTCCTTCTTCTTCTTCTTCTTCTTCTTCTTCTTCTTCTTCTTCTTCTTCTTCTTCTTCTCTTCCTCCTCCTCCTCCTCCTCCTCCTCCTCCTTCTTCTTCTTCTTTTCTCTCTCTCTCTCTCTCTCTCTCTCTCTCTCTCTCTCTCATTTTCTTGCAGATGAGACTCTTAGGGGAGGGTTTTGGTAGAATATTCATCAGCTTGCCAGGTGCATTTTTAATATGCTGATACCTCAAATGAGTGTATTGGGAATTTTTTAAATTATTCTTTGGTCTGTTTTATCTTTCTTTGGTCTGTTGTATCTTAGGTTTGTCTGGCTTTAACTGGATTTTTATTATTTGTTTCCCTCTGTCCTCTGTCCTTGGGTTTAGCTGGCACAAATGGCCTTAATTGGGTCTTTGTTCTCTAGTTTCCCAGGCCAGGGTGATTTAAGCTATGCATTTTCTGATTATGGAGGAGGGTATAAACCATTTGCTCTCAAGTGTCCTTGGTTGGAGAAGATAAGGTCATGTGATTCACAAGCTGGCTATAAGTTGCCCAAACTGTTTGGCCTTGTTTAATTTTGTCTCAGTTTCCTTGTTCTACTTCCCCAGGGATTTTCCTAGCTTCCTACTATCCTGCTACAATTTTATGGGTCTGCACAGCAGGCTGAAAGGAAGACTAGCAGCTAGGATCTTAGAAATAGAATTGGTGAAGACTTGGTACTTCCCAGGTAAGCCCAGATGATTCTCTGAGGAAACAAAGGGCTGATATATAAGGAAGGATCCATTGGAGTGCAGAGGGTGAGCTGCTACTGCCTGTGGGATCTTAGTCAAGTCAAACGCCAAGCCTCATCATCATCTATAAATGAAAATGACAATACTTACCTGTTAACACTGTTAGTCTGCTGGGCTGCTGTTACAAAATACCACAGATGCCTTAACAAATGCCACTAGGTAGTCTAAAAAACAGAAACTCATTTCCTTATAGTCCTGGAGGCCAGAAGTTCAAGACAAAGCTGTTGGCAGGTTTGGTTTCTGGTGAGAATTCTCTTCCTGGCTTATAGATGGCTGCCTTCTCACTGTGTGCTCACGTGGCCTCTCATATACGTGGGTGTCTGGAGAGGACAAGCACTCATATTTCTTCCTCTTCTTGTAAGGACACCAGTTCTATCAGGTTAAGACCCACCCTTATGACCTATTTGAACCTTTATTACCTTCTTATGGGCTGCATCTCTAAATATAGTCTCATTGGTGGTTAGAACTTCATCAGATAAATTTGGGGTAGTGGCACAATTCAGTCCATAGAAGATTTCAGGACATAGATTATCCTCTGAAAATGATAGCTCTTTTGATGTGGGCCACAGCAGAGGTCAAGCAGGTTACAGAGAATCCAGCTGATAAAAAATGCTCTGAACAGACCAAGACAAAAAACATCCCCAGATCCTTGGTGAAGAAGAACTGAAAGGCAATACCACACCCCTACTGTCTATTACCAGTATTTTGCTACATTTCTCATTATGCTTAAATGAGCTCTTTAATAAACTAGCTCTTTAATAACCTAGGGTTCTCTTTTCTCAATGTCACCTTGTCCCTCACTTCCTACATTTATTTTTTAATGCCCTTGACCAGAATCGAACCTGGGACCCTCCAGCCCGCAGGCCTACGCTCTATCCACTGAGCCAAACCAGTCAGGGCTCACTTCCTACATTTAATCAGCCACCAGATGTCCCTTATGTACATTCTCCACTTCCTATTAGTTCAGGCCTCCATCCTTTATGGCTTAGGTGCTAACAGTAGCTTCCTATGTTCATTTGTCTCCATTCATTCTAATCCACTCTCACACCACAGACAGGCTGGTCATGTAAAATATAAAATAAATCACGTCACCTCCCTACTTGAAATGTCTCAATGACTTCCTATTATTTTTAATATAAACCCAAATTTTGTAACAGGTCTCTTCTGAGAACTGTGGTCAAGATTCAGGAGGCCATAGCGGGAAGATCAAGTTAGCAGCCCCTCATAAAAGTCCCACTATAGCCAGGCTCGGTGCCTCTGCATATGCCTCCAGTTACCCTTACATCTGCTCAAGACTGACTGCTGCTGCTCATTTCTTTGTTCATTTCAATTGAGACAACTAAAAAGGACACTCAGGGTTTTATGTACCACTATTCTTAGAGACTATTACACCAGGCTGCCTGCCAAGCTTAACCCAGGTTTCTTTACAACTTTAATAATAAAACATTGTTTAAACACCCAGTGGCTGACTTTTCTAAAGACAATAATTGTATCTTCAGTCTTGCATGATTTATTATTTATTTACCATAAGTAAAGGTCAGGAATTGTTATCTTTTAAATTTTTTTTACTCTTTCACGTCATTACTGCTGTGTATGTGCTCCATGTCTGTGACGTAGGTGCTTATGTAGGTGGGTTCCGACTTACGGCAAAAATCGCGTTACGTCGCACCGTAGAAACGGATCTCCGATGTAACCCCAGGACCTACTGTATATATATGTACGAAGCAGACTTTGGTGCACAGCTTGGTTCTTCCTATACACACCCAGGCCCAGTAGAGGGAGCCACAAGCTGTGGATCGCTGATAGCTCCAAACAGGTTGCCCAGAGGCAGTCACAGACAGCATTTGACATTGGCCTGCACCAGGGCCCCACCAAAGAGGCCCAGAACTATTACACCCAGTGACCAGTTCTAGACAACAGAGCAGGATCCAATAAGCTTCACAAACAGTATATCCATAGGGAGATTTCAGCAGGCACAAAACCATCCTGAGGCAAATTCCACTTCGTATGATCAGCACCTGCATAGTAATTTTCATGCTGTATTGGGGGTTGAGCTTCACTACCAGCCAGCCTGAGTGTTGATCCCACATACAAATGGACCAACAGCAATCAAGACTGAATTATAACAGGAGGACCCACATAACATGCACAAGGGACATTCTTAGAGTACCCAGCTAATGTGATCAAGGAGACTACACCACTGGGTCCCACAGGTCACTGACGACATAAAGCCACCCTACCAAAACAGGGAGCCATAGCAGATCTACTTAAAACATAGAAATAAACACAAAGAGGCAGCTAAAATGCAGAGACAAAGAAACAGGCCCCAAATGAAGGAACAAGAGGATTCTCCACAAGAAGTGCTAAATGAAATGGAGGTAAGCAATTTATCAAATAATAGAGTTCAGAGTAATCATTATAAGGATGCTCAACAGCATGACAAAGGACCAGTCAAAAATGAAGAACAGCATAAAAAAGACCAGTCAAAAATAAAGAACGTCAAATCTGAAATCAAGAATACACTGAAGGAATAAACAGAGTGCTCAATGAAGTAGAGGATCAAATCAGCGATTTGGTAAACAAAAAACACCCACTCAAAGCATCAAAAAGAAAAAATAATTTTTAAAAATGAGTATAGTTTAAGGGACCTTGTGACAACGTGAAGTGCAACAAAATCCATGTCATAGGGATACCAGAAGGAAAAGAGAGAAAGCAAGGGATTGAGAACCTATTTGAAGAAATAATGACTGAAAACTTTCCTAACCTGGTGAAGGAAAAAGACATACAAGGAAACACAGAGTTCCAAACCAGATGAACCCAAAGAGGCCCACACCAAGTTACATCATAAATAAAATGGCAAAAGTTAAAGACAGAGAATCTTAAAAGCCACGAGAAAGGAATCTACAAGGGAGCTCTCATAAAACTGTCAGCTGATTTCTCAACAGAAACATTTCAGGCCAGAAGGGATTGGTGTGAAATATTCAAAGTGATAAAAAACAAGGACCTAGAACCAAGACTACTTTACCCAGCAAGGTTATCATTTAAAATTAAAGGAGAAATAAAGGGCTTAAGCTAAAGTACTTTCTTACTAACAAAACAGTATTTTAAAAAAATGTTAAAGGACTTGAAGAACAAGAAGAAAGAGGAGGAAGAGGAGAAGGACAAAGAGAAGGAGAAAGACAAGGAGAAGAGGAAGGAGAAGAAGACTAAGCAAGGAAAAACCCAGCCAGCGTGGCTCAGCGGTTGAGTGTCGACCTATGGACCAGGTCACAGTTCAATTCCCAGTCAGGGCATATAGGAGGCAGCCAATCAGTGATTCTCTCTCATCACTGATATTTCTATCTCTCTCTCCTTCTCCCTTCCTCTTTGAAATCAATAAAAATATATTTTTTTTTTAAAAAGAGAAGCGAAAAACAAGAAAAAACAAAAAAAAAAACAAAACCAGGAACATAATTTAAAAAATAAAATGGCAATAAATACATACCTATCAATAATCACTTTAAGTGTAAAGGCTTAAATGCTCCAATCAAAAGACATAAGATAGCTGAATGGATAAGAAAATAAGACTCGTGTATATGTTGCCTTCATGAGGTCCACCTCAGAACAAAAGATACAGACAAAAAGTAAAGGGATGGAAATAGATATTTCATGCAAATGGAAAAGAAAAAAAAGCTTGGGTAGCAATACTATGTAAGAAAATAGACTTTAAAACCAAGGCTATAGTAATAGACAAAGAAGGACACTACATAATAATAAAGGGAGCAATCCACCTACAGGATATAATCCTTGTAAACATTTATGTAACGAACAGTAAGAGCACCTAAATATGTAAAGCAAAGCTTGATGGACATAAAAGGAAAGACAGTAATACAGTTATAGTAGGGGATTTTATCACCCCATTGACATCAATAGAAAGATCATCCAAACAGAAAAATCAACAAGGAGACGGTGGTCTTAAGTGACACACCACACCAAATGGATTTAATCAATATCATCAGAGCATTTCACTCCAAAACAGCAGTATATACATTCCCTTTAAGTGCCCATGGTACATTTTCTAGAATAGACCATATGTTAGGATATAAAACAAGTCTCAATAAATTATGACTGAAATCATATCAAGAATCTTCTCTGACCATAATGCCATGAAACTTGAAATCAATCACAAGAAGAAAACTGAAAAACCCACAAAGATATGGAGACTAAATTACATATTACTAAACAATGAATGGCTTAACAATAGATCAAGGAAGAAATCAAAAGATACCTTGAAACAAATGAAATGAGAACACAACAACCCAAAATCTGTGGGTCACAGGGAAAACAGTCCTAAAAGAGAAATTCATAGCATTACAGGCCGACCTCAAGAAACAACAAAAAGCGCAAATAAACAATTTAACTTTATACTTAAAGGAATCTGAAAAAAAAAGAAAGCCCAGAGTAGAAGGAAGAAAATAATAAAGATCAGAGTAGAAATGAAATAGCAGTAAGATCAATGAAAGCAAGAGCTGGTTCTTTGAAAAGAAACAAGATTGACAAACCCTTAACAAGACTCATCAAGAAAAAAATAGAGAGGATTCAAATAAAATCAGAAATGAAAGTAACAACTGACACCACAGAAATACAAAGAATTCTAAGAAATATACCAACAAATTGGGAATCTGGAAGAAATGGATAGATTTCTAGAAACATATAATCTTCCAAAACTAAATCAGGAAGAACCAGGGAATGTGATTAGATCACTACTAGTGAAATTGAAGCTCTGGTTGAAGTGGGGGATGAAGGGATTGAGGAAAAAAAAAAAAAAAAGGAGAACTTATGGACAGGGTCAACAGTGTGGTGATTGCAGCGGGGAGGAAGAGGTTGGAAGAGGGTATATGGGGATAAATGGTGATGAAAAAATAAAATGTAAAACAAAACAGGCTAAGAAACACAAGTTGGGTGATGGTTACTATAGCTTTCACCTTAATTATTCATTAAGCTTTTCAATTATTCTGTGTGGTTCTATAATGTAATATGTTTTATTTTACAATAAAGTTATTTTTTTTAAACCATTAAAAAAAAACCACCATAAAGTTAAAAAACAAACTAAAAAATCACTCATATTGTGAACAAAGAACCAATTTTCCCCAAGCATAAAAATTAGCTCTTTAAAAACTGCGAAAAATATCCACAACCCAGTAGGAAAATGAAATAAGGACAGAGTTCCCAGAATAGCAAATACAATTGGCCTTTTAACAAATTACAAAAGGTTCAGCCTCACTACTGAAAAGATAGAAGGCAGGTGTTTCAAAACCTGAAAGGTCTCTTCCTATAGTTCATTTGAAAATCTAGGTTAGATCTTTTTTACTTTTTGGCTTAAAACCTGCCAAGGGCTGCCCATGTATGCAGGTAATTGTGTTTGTTATCGACGTGAAACCACTCTCCTGATCTGCTAGCCATGTATCTTTTTTTCTTTCCATCAAAATCAGTTTTGAGGATCTAGTGAAACTGAAGCACCTACTTCTTGTCCTTTCTGCCACTAGCTATGCACTACTTCTCCTGCAGTGATTTATGCATGAGATTGCTCTGTTGCTCCCTAATATAAACTAACCTAACAGCTTTGACCCTCCCCATATGAGTGTGTCCTAGAACAAAGACTGGAAGTGGTTTCATAGTAGTGACTTTGAACATTACTCAGTTTGCCTCTTTAAACTTTCACATATAACAAAGTTGGAAACAGCAGACTGGAAAAATTTTAAGGTGGGGGTGATTAGCTGTCTGGGATGGGGTGGTAGTGGTAGGGGCCGAGCAAGCTGTGAAGGAAAAAGGCCTGAAATAAAGCAACCACATCAAAGAACAACTGAACTCATGGTCTTCTTCTGTGGCCACAGGTTAGGCAGCCCCAAGCTCAAGCTGCTTGAGTTTCTCCTGGAGCCCTCGAAGCTGGCTTCGACCCCAGTTGATGTGGATCTGGAGACTGGCCATATCTACAGCCAGCAGCAGGCCTAGAGGAAGGGGAGAAATTGTCACCATGGTATCTGTAGTGTGACACATGACTTAAGGGAATCTGGACATTCCCAGGGATTGGAAAGGCGCTAGGCCTCTATTATTCCTAAAACATTCCAGGTACACCCTGCAATGGCTGCTCCAAACCTCACTGGACCCACACCCTCACCTTCTTCAGGTCTTTGCTAAAATGTCACCTCCTCAAAAGACTTTCTTGACCCCCTTCTATCACCCACCAGGAACTAATAATCCACAGATCATTACACACACTGTCTCATGCTCTTATTTTCTTCCTACTTTTCTCCATTACCACAGTCCCTCGCGGCTTTCACCCTCACTCCTTCCATCTGTTTTCTCTGCCTCCAACAGTATTCCACACTCTGGATCAACCTTTAGGTGGCTTCTGCTTGATGCCTCTGCTGGAATAGCTGCTGCCAAATCCTCTGGGCCTCCATGCCAACCAATGCACTGGCCAGTCCTGTCTTCAGCCTACCTATCCAGCAGCAGAGCTGGCCACACATCTGATCAACTCCATCCAGGAAACACATTCTCCTTTTGGCTTCTGGGACACCTCACCCTCTAGGTGTTACTCCTGCTTCACTACTGCTTCTCAGTCTCCTCTAATGGTTCCCCCCTTCCTCTCCTTCACTTCCTGTCCACCTGCTGATTTTACTCCATCTTAGCTTCAATGCTACATGTGTCAGAAACTTAGGAATTTAAATGCCAGAGTTATGTGGTGGGCTCTGGAATCTCTCTCCAGCTGAAGCCTCTTCCAAACTCCAGATGCATGTGTGCAACTGCCCACAGAATCTCCACCACTAGGAACACAACCATACCCTTTCAGCTGCTGCTTTGCATTCCTCCCACACCTGGTGAGGGCAGCTCCATTCTCCCAGGATTCCTGGCTAGCCAGTGGGCTCATCCTTCACTCATATCCTTCCCTTATTCCCAAATTGATTTGTCAGCAAATCCTGGGGGGTTCTATAGAAGGATATTAAGAAGCTAAGAAGATTCCAGTGCAGGAGGAAACTGAGACAAGAAAATTAAACAAGGCCAAACAGCTTGGGCAACTTGCAGCTAGTCTGCAGCAAGATCTTATCTTTCCCAGCCAAGGACACTTGAGAACAGATGGTTAATACCTCTCCTTCCTAACCAAAGAATGCAGAAAAGGAGGGGGAAGGGAAGGGGAGAGAAGGGGGAGTTTATCTAGCCCACCAAACAAAGAAGTCAGTCATTTGGAGGAGGAGAGTAGGGGGAGTTTTTCTCAAAAGACAGAGAAAGTCAGTAGTCTCGGGACTTGTCAAGATAAAATTGCCAGATGATTCTCATAAATTCTGGGAAAGCCATAAAAAAGTAAAAAGAGACCTTGAGATCTAGTATGTACCAACCTCTACCTGCATCTTAAGCCTGGCTGCTCCCTGGTGGCTACTTAATACCTCTGCTCATCTGTTCCCACGCAGAATCCACTGGATTCCTGTCAGGCTGCAAGTCTACCCCATTACTCCCAAAGTCCTCAACAGGGCCTATTCAGCCCTCAAATTATCGGGGCCTAGAGCCCTCTAACCACAGCTCCTGGCTCTCTCTGCTACACCAACTCTAGTCCACTGGCCTCTTCTCTGCAATGGCCCACACAATCTTGCCTTTTCACCCCAGTTGGCCCCTCTGCTTAGAACACTGTTCCCCCAGATCACCTTCATAAAACAGTTCCCCCAGACCATTCCTGTCCCACTTCATCTACAACACCCTATCTTATTTTTGCATAACAATTCTCATTACTTACTTATTTGCAGGTTGTCTTTCTCCCCTCAATAGTATAACATTCTATGAGGATATTTGTCCCTTTCATTTCCTGCTGTATCCCAGCACTGATCATGAGCCTAGAACACTGCCAAGATGCTGTAAATGCTTTCAGAAAAAACAGCAGGCATGCAACAAAAGTATGCAATGGAAAAAACCTGCAAAACCCTTTGTAGACTAATCCCAGCCCTGGCATTAGAGGGTCCAATTTTGGCTTAGAGCCACACGGTCAACTGGCAGAGTCCACTCACCCTCCTGGAAGCTGGCTTGGGCTTGCCGTAGGCTATGTGGAACCAGGATTCCAAACCAGTTCAGAGGGTTTGGGGAGGCTGAGAAGGCCTCGGGCTCTGGAATCCTGGTAAGGCCCTTGCGCCTTCGCAGAGCTGGAGAAAGAAAGGGTAGAAGTTGGAATCTTATTACCTGGCCCTTAACTTCTGGGTGACAATGTTGAACTCTGAGCTCATGATCCTGGGAAATACTGATGGTTGCAAAATCTCTGCAACCTTTTAAGATCCAAAAAACAGCTTACCACAAAAAAACCACCGTTCCCCACTTGTGATTCAAATGTGAGACTGTCCATACATTCTCAAGACTCTCATAAAACCAACCCTTGTTTAGACAAAGTCATACACTGACTGCTGGAAGCTATCCATTGTCTACACCAGTGGTTCTCAACCTTCCTAATGCCGCGACCCTTTAATACAGTTCCTCATGTTGTGGTGACCCCCAATGTCATTGTTACAAATTGAACATAATAAAAGCATAGTGATTAATCACAAAAACAATATGTAATTATATATGTTTTCCGATGGTCTTAGGCGACCCTTGTGAAAGGGCGTTCGACCCCCAAAGGGGTCGCGACCCACAGGTTGAGAACCGCTGGTCTACACTATCATGAAAGTGCAAACAGGGAACCCAGAAGGCTGATGGATCTTGAGCTTTGGCAAGGGCTAAAAGCTATGCACCAATTGTTCTGTTGAGACAATGCTGGCTCAAGCAATTTCCTGATGTAATAGTCTCAAAGTAAATCTTTACTATTTACTGACCTTTAAGATAGTCTGTCTGCTACCAGATTGCCTGCCTGACTAAGGGCAAGATGTGTGTTCTAAAATTAAATAAAATCTAACAGGGCCTGGGCCCCAGTGAAGCCTTTCCACTAGAGAGCGGTTCTCCGCCTGACCCCCATGATTTCCAAATTCGTATTTCTTGTCTAGTCTCCTCATTTGTGCGTGGCCCTTCTCCAGATCCTGAACCCTAGCCGTGCAGGTTGCGGCTTTCACAACTGACCTTTCCCATTTTGCCTGAACATGCTGAAAGGTCAGACAGACTCTCCAACTCCCTGTTCTTTATGAATGACTAGCTGAGATTGAAAGTTTGTCCTTCTGAAAGAGATAAACATTTTCTTTCCAACTGACTGAGACTTCCTGTAACTACAAAACAATCCCAACTGTAAAAGACTTCACCTATTTCTCCCTATAAAAGTCTAAGGCCAAAACCACTCTGCTGAGACATTTTGATCTTCAAATCTAGGGCGCTCTATCAAAGCAACTTGAATAAAATCATCTCCTTAATTGTATTTTGTCTTTGACATCGGGAGGGGTCCCTGACGGGAAGGGGGGCTCACCTGCCTCACGGGGCCCCACCTCCTCTGGACTCTGGGCGCCGGCTCTTACCACACGAAACTTCTGGAGTCCATTTTGCGCCTCGCTGAAGAAAGAGAAGGGAGGATGGATCTTTGACAGCCCCACCCTGCGCATTCCCCACCTACCCGATTCAGCAGGCAAGGCTCCTCACTTGGTGCAGACGCAGACCTGGGGCTCCATGCGGGAGGCATATTGCAGGGGCCCTACCGACTTGGCACCCATGGCATAGCGAGCTTTGGAGAGCGAAAGCCAGCCCTTCGGAAAGAGAGAGGATCAGTAAAACTCGGTTTACCTCGGCGTGACCCTCCGCCCGCCCGTCCCAGGCTCCCACCTCCTCCACCCGGGCGTTCAGCGCCACCCGCTTTGACTCCAGCTCTTCCAGGTCCCAGAGCAGCTGCAGCAGCAGCGAGTCCAGCTCCGCCCGTAAATCGGCTGCGGCCATGGCCCACCGCACTCTAATCTGGAGCCAGTCTCCTTCCAGGTCGCCCAATCACCGCTCACCGTGCCGGTAGTGTAGCCAATGGACGTTCGAGATCCGCCGTCGCTGTGGGCCCAGCGATCACGTAGTGGAAGCCGTGGGGTTGAAAGCCGTGGGAGTCTCGGCTTCTAATGGCAAGCGTCCTCAGAGCAGCAGCATTGCAACCGAGTAGTCGCTTTCTGCGCTTAGCATCCGAAGCGAATCAGCCAACCGGAAAGTTGGCGAGAGCTGTGGGGTTCCGAGTCGCTTCTGGAAGCGGCTGCATTTTAAAAGTAGGGCTATCGCTGTGGCGAAGGAAGGAGGCGTAGCAACCATTTTAAGGGAGAAACGGCTTTAGATTTAATTCCAAAAGGAGCTGTTAAGCGATCCTGCGGCCTACCGTTGTGCTGGCTTTACAGCTGCTGCACTATTTCAAGCCGCCAATGGCATAATAACTAGCGGTACATCATCTTCAATTTGGGCATTCTGCACAGCCGCGACAAATGGTGAAGCCAAGGAAGACATCTTTATTAATGGCAGCCCCAGGCCGCCTAACAACATCTTGACATTTCCTCTGCCTATTGGTAGCTCCAGTGAGCATGCGCTTCTGGGCTGGCCAATCGCCTTGTGACTCCCATCAGCAGCGTTTAGTGAACCTACCACTTTCTTGGTTGAGGGCGGAAGCGAGGACTGCGTAGTGCTGGCAGCTCTCGCAGATTCTCCGAAACCCACGTGGAAGCGGCGCCCAGGATGGTAGGGATGTTTGAGCTTCTGTTTTGAAGGTTGGGGGTTCGCGGAGGGCTGGGGATGAGGTCTGTGGGCTCGGGATGGGTGGTCCCCCGGGGCCGAGCGTGCATGGAGAAAGAGGCGCTCACCCGACACGCTGTTCCCTAGTTGCGCCGTGAGGCGCGCCTTCGCCGCGAGTACCTCTACCGCAAGGCCCGCGAGGAGGCGCAGCGCGCCGCCTACGAGAGGAAGGAGAAGGTGCGGCGCGCGCTCGAAGGTATGGTCCCCGCTGCCCGGCGGCGTCACCCACCCCTCGAGAGACTGCGGGTTTGCATTTTAAAACCCAATGGAAAAACCAAGTGACTTAATTAGCATTTCTTTGGTAGTATAGTTGGGCATCTTTTCAAGTATTTACTGGTCATTTTCTTTGCCTGCTGGGTCTTTCTGTTGCTTGCAAGTGCTCCTCCAGATGATGGTATGAATTACTTGTCATTTATGCTACAGTATCGAGATTTTACAGCTTGTCTATTAATTTTGCTTACAGTGTGTCTAGTTCTTCTCAAATTTAAAATGATCCCTATGGTCCTTGTAGACGTTCCCCACCTCCACTCCCCGTAGTTTTTCATCTCGTTATCTTCTTTAGTACCAGGTATTAAAGCATATCTTGCTGTCTTTTAGTGGTATTATGAGTCCCTTGCATTTTTAAACTGTTAATCCGTATATAATTTAATTTTAGTTGCGTTGTAAATTAGGGTCTAATTTTGCAGTGTTTTCCCCACTTTACATTTGCCATACTAATGAAGAGTTTGTCACACATGTCTGATTAAAAATGACATATTTATTCACCCAGTTGTGTTCTTGTGTTGGTGAAGCTTTGTTTCTTATCTGAAGGTACATCAACTCAGTATCTGATTATTTTAAATTACTTAGATGTTCCTAGTTGTTAGATGTATGTATATATATATATATATACACAGTGTGTGTGGTTATGTGTGTGTATGTTTATGTTAAGCATAATGTTAAACAACTGTAATCTATCCGCCCATCTTAAGAAATGGAAAGTGGTCAGTATACATGGGTTGGCAAAAGTAGGTTTACATTTGTTTGTATGGAAAGACATTCAGGTTATTATTACAATAGCTTTATTAACTCAAAGAATGTTACAATGCAACTATAAACCTAGTTTTGTCCACCCCTGTATTGAAATTCAGGAATATTTTCCACAACTTAGGTAACCACAGTATTGAATATTGTTTAAAAATAAACTGTTTCCTTGGTTTTTGTGTGTGTGCTTATATGGTACTTATTTGTATCCCTAAATCATATTGGTTGATTTTTAGTTTTAAAGGTAGTATTAGGTTATATGTATTCTTTGGCAGTTTTATGTTTTTGTTCAGCATTGTTTCTAAAATCCGTTGAGTATAGTGGAGATTTCCTTCAGGTGAGTATCTTCCATGTGCAAGAATTCCACCAGGGCACACTAACAAGTGCTGGTTCCAGGGGCACAGTCATGTATAGCTCTATACTCCCAAGGTGGATGTTCCCACAGCCCAGCCCCTATGCCAGGTCAAGCTTTAGTTCACAGAGGAAACTTCTGACCTAGAGCATCATGATTAGCAGATTTGTTGTCAGAGGGTTTCAGGATTTCTGGTCCACCTTTATACAGAAAGAGCAGTCTAAAAACCTTCAAGCCATGAGACTCAGGAACTGTAGCAAATTGTTTCCTATAACTATTGTTAACAGGTTAGCATGTAGATAGAAATAGTCCCCAACCTCTCACCCCCCAGTATCATCTCTGCTCAGAAAGGAGTAAGAAAGGTATTTTTCCCATCAGGTTTGTAAGCCATAGTGTTGTATTAACTGAGACCTTCATCTGTATATCTCACTTATCCCTCTGTCTTTCCCCTGCAGAGAACCGCCTGATCCCCACGGAGTTACGTAGGGAGGCTTTGGCCTTACATGGTTCCCTGGAGTTTGACGACGCTGGTGGTGAAGGTGACCTTCCCCAACACTGGGGCCCACTGGCCTCCATATCTTTCCTCACACACCTTGATGAAAGGCTCTGCGACTCATGTTCCTGGAACTGTGCCCCAGAGTCTTCATGGTTCTGCACTGATGGCTACTCAGAGGAGCTCGTCCTGAGTGCTCCCAATTCCAATTAGAGACACATGTGATACCACCCAACTTACTCTCTGTTTTGCTTTGGTCTCCCTCACTGGAATGTGAATTTTGCTGGGACAGGATAGTGTCCATTATGTTCACTGCCATTTCCCGAGCTCTCAGCACTTCATTGGCACCCAAATGTTTTACTCATTGTGTTATTCAACACATCTGAAAGGAATCACAAATGATGTAAATATTTGTTAGGAGAAATAGGAGTCTGTTACCTTTGGCCTTATTAGAATCTGTACTTATGCTAACACAATAGCCATTAGCCCTGTGTGATTAATACAGCTTAAATGAGTGAAATTAAATCAAATTAGAAAATTCAGTTCTGCATTAAACTTGTGCTTGTAGCCAATATGGTTTGGTGCCACCCTATTGCCCATTGTGGGTGTGGAGCATCCTATCACTGAAGATATTGTCAGATGGTGCAGCTCTGAATGGATTCTGCCACTCCCAAGTTAGTATTTCACTTCCCAAGATAATCTCATGTTCTTGCCCCTCATGCATCTGACAGGTGTGACCAGTCATGTGGATGATGAATATCGATGGGCAGGGGTTGAGGATCCCAAGGTCATGATCACGACTTCCCGAGACCCCAGTTCACGCCTCAAGATGTTTGCAAAGGTATCAAAAGAATCAGGGAGTGGAAGATGCTCAGGTACCAGTGGCCTGAGTCCTAACTGGTGTGTGTACACGTGCAGGAGCTGAAGTTGGTGTTTCCTGGTGCCCAGCGCATGAACCGTGGCCGACATGAGGTGGGGGCACTGGTGCGAGCCTGCAAAGCTAATGGTGTCACCGACCTGATAGTTATCCATGAGCATCGTGGCACACCTGGTAAGGTTGGTGGGAGGGAGCAGGGTGTTTGCCGGGTTGGCCATCTGAGAGCAGACAGTCTCTGACAGCCTATCTGGCCCCACCAGTGGGGTTCATTGTCAGTCACCTGCCCTTTGGCCCCACTGCTTACTTCACACTATGCAATGTGCTTATGCGGCATGACATCCCTGACCTGGGCACCGTGTCAGAGGCCAAACCTCACCTCATCATTCATGGCTTCTCCTCCCGTCTGGGCAAGCGGGTGAGTCTGGGATCATGGAACTAGGGCTGGGGGCAGGCGATGCCAGGCTGGGCATTCCCCAATCTTCTTCCCTCTGCCCCAGGTCTCTGACATACTTCGTTACCTGTTCCCTGTGCCCAAAGAAGACAGCCATCGGGTCATCACCTTTGCAAACCAGAATGACTACATCTCCTTCCGGTGTGTCCATGGGCTGGGCTCTGGGATTGTATCCTGACCTTTGTGTCCCTATACTAGTGGTTGTTGACCTATAGCTGCTCCTGCCTCCTCTCACTCCTGCCCTGCCTTCCCTTGCCCCAGACACCATGTGTACAGGAAGACCAACCACCGCAATGTGGAGCTGACCGAGGTTGGCCCTCGCTTTGAGCTCAAGTGTGAGTTTGGACTTTATCTCAGGTCTGTTGGTGGGGAAAAGCTGGCTGTATAGTTGATAATGTCTCTGTTCCCCTCTACCAGTATACATGATTCGCCTTGGCACGCTGGAACAGGAGGCCACAGCAGATGTGGAGTGGCGTTGGCATCCTTACACCAACACTGCACACAAGAGGGTCTTTCTAAGTGCTGAGTGAGCCCATTCTGTTGTCAGGATATGGGCTTGGACCCAGGAGGTGGGGGCGGTCAGAATAAAGTCTGTGTGCCACACCACCCCATTTGCCTCTGTTTGGTTTGGACAGGCCGGATGTCAGGGTAAGTATAAAGGATGATATCCATGGGGTCTTCTTAGCTGGGGACCTGACAGCTTGGGGACATTCTCAGGCCTGGTGTTGACATTGTGTGTAGGACAAAGCAGACTCAGCATGTTGGCTTCCTCTTGAGTTATTAGGAGGGTTTGGCACTGTCCCTGGGAGAGTTGGAGCTGCTGTTACTCAGGTGCTCATCATCTGGGAGGAGGATGGGCATGGGTAGCAGGGCCTGTCACATTTGCTCCAAGTAAGCATGAGACTCGGGGGGCTGACACAGAGGATGGGACCTAGTCAGTGCTTCCCAGGATCCCTCTGCCTACTTCAGCACACAGGCACACCTTTCCATTCACTAGGGACACATTGACACTTTAGAGACTACCAACTGTGCACACCACCTGCTCTCTTGTTAGGGAAGGGTTTATCTGAGGTCAGGGCGCGGTCACGGCTGCTCAGGAGATCTGGGATCTTTACTTGACCTATCCACAGTCATTTGCTTTGCCCTTCCTCTCTGCCCACTTCTCTATTATGTATCCAGAGCCCTGGTGTCACACAAAATGGATGTCAAGATCCTACATAATGCACACAGGTTGACACGAAGGAGAATGATAGCAGTAGGAAAGAGATCTATCATGCCAGGTGCGAACAGGGCTATGAAGAAAAAAGTCAGACGGAAGTGGAGAGGGAGAGGCCTCTGCAAGTGCCCTGAGATCTACATGATGGCATGAAACAGCAGGGGCCATCTAGATGGTCCATGCAAACTCTTAGGTAGACAGTCCTCATAAGGGTCTCAGGAACAGGAGCAGCCCAGTGGGAGAGGGGTCTTGAGGGAGAGCAGGGGACCCATAGGACCAAATGGGCCATGGCATTCAGGGAGAGCAGGGGATGGGACATCACAGGATGTCCATAATTCTAACTCAACTCTCAACTCATGAGTCCAATTAGTTCCTTCTTCAGGCCTTTTCTGGAGCCTCGCAGCTTGCCACAGCCTCAATATGCTATTAAAAATTTTTTGCAAGTTATGGAGATTTCAAAATACATACAAGAAGTAGAGTAGTATGATCTGTGTTGGTTTCCTGGGGCTACCATAACAAATTACCACGAACTGAGTGTTTGTTTATAGGACGGATGTAGAAGATGAAGATGTGAGCTCTACCCACAAGCCCTCCATTCCTTACCCCTTCCAGCTTCTGATGGCTGCCAACAATCCTTGGTGCTCCTTGGCTTGTAACTACATCATGCTAGTCTCTGCCTGTGTCTTCATATGACCTTGTACTGTCTGTGGTCTCCCCTTTTTTTAAAAAAATATTTATTCAGATTATTACAGATGTTACTCTTTTTTCCCCCCATAGCTCCCCTCCACCCAGTTCCCACCCCACCCCATGCCCTTATCCCCCCCTGACCACCGACTGTCCTCGACCATAGGTGTAAGATTTTTGTCCAATCTCTTCCCGCACCCCCCACACCCCCTTCC